TATTTCGCCAGCATCTTCATTAAGAAGTGCAAGTCTTTGCATCAAGATCAACTAACTAAAATGGTCGAGGGTGTATAATTAGACAGATAGATACGACAGGAGTTTTAAGGGCAAAGAAGAAGTCAGGTAGAAAATGGAGCGAAACTGGGTTTCGCTGATTAGAAACATAAATGAAAGGACACTTTTGTGAGAGATTGGAATACTCGAAGATACAAAGAGGTTTGGATCTGTAATTTGGCCATACAAAAATGGTATTCAAGTATAATGATACAGAGTTGACATTTATGACAGAGGAGATGAGAGGTACTACAATGATAAAAAAGAAATGATAATGATGACTTCTTTTAGAAGTGTTCTGACCTCGTTTTCTCAACTCGGTCGTATTGTCAGATAAACCTAGTTAGACGCAGCTTGCCCGAATTCCTCTACTCTATTATCTAAGAGGATTCCCAGCATTGGACCGTAGACTCGGAACACTCCCAGACGTTTCTCGGGCATCATAGTTGGCATCGTTAACGAATCTTGTCCTTCGTAACACTAAGCTACAACTCCCCATTCTCGTATCTCACTCCCTCACTATCACAACTTGTGATTTGTTTATGTTCTACTCTTCCAAAAGTGTGCCGTTTTTGAAGAAGGTAGAGGGGCGCTATCACACCTGCTGGACCACCTTGCCCACTCTTCATATCGATCTGTCGGAATCACTGATCGGACTAGTACCCTCTATCCGAACCTCCTTTGTAACATCGGAGATTCGTTTATCTTACTGATTCATTGATTTTACTCGATTATATTACTTCAGACACTACCATAACACTTCGGTAGCCTCACCGATCAGACGTCATTGGCTCTGGTCCACAGGCTTGCCGATACCAGGCATCGTCGCTACTGGCCATCACTACGGTTCAACTCTTGTAGACTGAGCAAATTGTGAAAGTCTATCTCCGGTCTCCTGCTGTATCTCAAGTGGATATCTAATCAATCTGTCTCCCATCTTCTAGCCATTATGCCAAATTCCTGTGACGATTGTGATTATCCATCTGCCTATTCCTGTGAACTCCAGCCCCCCAAAGATTTAGTAGTTTTTACCAACAGACTATATTTACTGAGATCATCTTTGTTTGATTTTCCCACTAGCTTCTTACATACGATTCCTTTTACTCTGCTTAACAATAGATTGATGATCAAAGCATCTCCTTCTTGTTGGTTTTGCCGTACCCTTGTTTGCTCCGAGTTTGCTTAAGCGATAGGCAAAGTTATCGCTAACTCTGCCTTTTTCAGATCACCTCTTCATTAAATTACTTTCAGCAAGGGTGTCGATGGCCTCCATAACCTTCCGTTTTCTTGCGTTTCTACCGTATGTGGGCCTTCTTTTGGATGCCCACCAATCGATCTCGTGTTTATTCTGTGGAATGTGTTCCGCAATTTTTTTTTCTTTTGGCATCCATATTCCTTCAACTCCTTTGACGTTCCCTAATTCGTATGTTGATTTTATCTCTACTTCGTCAATACATTTTCGTTTGCAGACGCCGTATGCTGTGCAAGAAAGTCTCGAGCAATCCTATTTATCTATCCACTTATATTGCGTGGGTAAATTTAGAAAGAGTGCTGCATTTTCCTTCGTGGTCACCTAAATATTCCATTTTAGTAATGTTGGCCGTAGTTTTTAAGTTAGTTTGCAGGAAGGTAGACATATCCACTTCTTCGAATCGTTTTCAATTCCTATTTTTCTTTCACAATTCCTGTCCTGCCATCTGCTTCTTACAGCCCGTATGTTTCTTTGTATACTTCCCTCAGGTTTGCGTTGCCGAGGAATATCCAAGTCAATTTGTCCTATTCCTCATTTCACAACTCCATTTCCTTTAGTCGTATGCTTAGGATCATTATACTCTTCATTATTTCA